TTGTTGAAGAGACTATCCTCTCCCCATCAGGTGTTCTTGGCTCCCTTGTCGAGTATTAGTGAACCACGTATGCCAGGATTTGATTCTGGCCTCTCTCCTGTTCTATTTCTGTGCCAGTACCATACTGTTCTTATTACTATGGCTTTACTAGTATACACTGACTCTCGAACAACATGAGTTTGAACTGTGTAGGACTGCTTACACGTGAATTTTTTACAGTATTGTAAATGTATGTTCCTTACGATCTTAACCTTTTTTTTTCTAGCTTACTTTAAGAATACACTATAGGGCGCCTGGGTGGCTCAGTCGTTAAGCGTCTGCCTTCGGCTCGGGTCATGGTCCCAGGGTCCTGGGATCGAGCCCCACATCGGGCTCCCTGCTCGGCGGGAAGCCTGCTTCTCCCTCTCCCACTCCCCCTGCTTGTGTTCCCTCTCTCGCTATCTCTCTGTCAAATAAATAAATAAAATCTTTAAAAATAAAGAATACACTATATATACAAAATATGGGGTTTTTTTTAAGATTCTATTTATTTATTACAGAAAGAGCACAAGCAGGGGAAGCGGTAGACAGAGGGAGAGGAAGAAGCAGGCTTCCCGATGAGCAGGGAGCCCGATGCGGGGCTCAATCCCAGGACCCCGGGATCATGACCTGAGCTGAAGGCAGATGCTTAACCGACTGAGCCACCCAGGCGCCCCAAAATGTTTTTTGACTCTGTTATTGGTAAGGCTTCTGGTCAACAGTAGGCTAAGTATTAAGGGAGTCAAAAGTTATACTAGGATTTTAAACTGCATGAAGGGTCTGCACCCCTAACTGCCATGTTGTTCGAGGATACCTCTGGTGCTGGTCTTTTTTCTTGAGATGGCTTTGGATATTTGGGGTCATTTGTGGTTCCACAAAAAATTTTGGATCGTTCTATTTCTGTGAAGAACGCCTTTGATATTTTGATGGGTATTGTGTTCTGTAATTTTTTGGCACGTAATTTGTTCATATTAGTTTCTTATTCTGTGGTATCAGTTGTAATCTCTCTAATTTTGAGTTTTCTTTTTCTTAATCTAGCTAAAAGTCTGTCAATTTTACCTTTTCAAAGAACCAGCTCTTAGTTCAGTTGACCATTTCTCTTGTTTCTCTGGTCTCATTTATTTCTGTTCTGGTCTTTATTATTTTCTTGTTCTGCTAACTTTAGGCTTAATCTGTTTTTTCTACTTTCTTGAGATATAAAGTTAGGTTGAGATCTAATTTCTTAACATCCGTGTTTATTACTATAAACTTACCTTCTTTCCCTTTTGATTTCTTTGACCTATGTGTTTTTGAGGAATATGTTGTTTAGGTTCCACATATTTATAGATTTTCTCATTTCTCCCTTGTTGATTTCTAGTTTCATACCATGGTGGTCAGAAATGATAGTATGATTTCAATCTAAATTTGCTGAGATTTGTTCGGTGTCCTATCATATGATCTGTTCTGGAGAATGTTCATGTGCACTTAAGAACAATGTGTATTCTGTTGTTTGATGAATTCTGTGTATGTCTAATAAGTTCATTTGCTCTAAAGTATGATTGCATTCCACTGTTCACCTTGTTGATTTTCTTAACCCAGAGCCTTAGATCACTAGGCGACTCTTCCGCACATCTTCCTTGTTGACTTTCTGTCTGGATGATCTTCCCACTGTGATAGTGGGGTATTGAAGTCCCCTACTCTTATGTTATTGTCTATTTCTCCCTTAAGATCTGTTAGTATTTGCTTAATGTATTTTGGTGCTCAGTTGTTAGCATATATATTTACAATTGTTAAACTTCCGTGGTATATGGACCTCTTTATCATCATATGACCTTTGCCAGTTTTATGATTTTTGGCTTGAAGTCTATTTTGTGTAAGTAGGCAATGCCTGTCTTGTTTTGGTTTCTACTTGTTTTGAATGTCATTTTCCATCCTTTCACCTTGAGCCTATGTATGTCTTTAGAGCTGAAATGAGTATTCTATAGAGAGCATATAGATGGGCCCTGTTTTGTTTTTGTTTTTGTTTTTTACCTATCCAGCCACTCTGTGCCTTTTGGTAAACTCAATCCATTTTACATGGAGGGTGATTATTGATATGTGAGGAATTACTACGGCCATTTTATCTTTTGCCTTCTAGTTTATCTCTCCGTTGTTTCTTTTTCCTTCTGTTCCTGTCTACTTTTGTAAGCTGGTGTTTGTCCTTGGTGATTTGCTCAGTCTCCTTTTTTTGTTTTGGGTCTTTGCTCTAAATTTTTGCTTTATGGTTACCAGAAGTTTTACTAAATAAAACATCTCATTGGGGGGGTGGGGGGGGAGAGTCATTTTATGCTGATAAAAGTTTATCTTCATTTAATTTCATCCTTTTATACTTTATTAGATGTCACAAATGATCTCATTATGCTGTGAATTGTTACCAGATTTTAATAGCTATCATTTTTAATGCTCTTTAACCTTTATGCTGCAGTTATTTTTTATTCTAAAATAGTTTTCTGTTGATCACCTTAATAAGAAGGTTGTGTATTGAGATCTTTTCAGCTGGAAGATCTACTTCTGATGTTTCTTGTAAGGCAGTGTTAGTGGTGGTGAACTCTCACATTTTATTGGTTTGGGAAATCCTTTGTTTCTCTTTCATATCAAGGGTAACTTTGCCACTTAAGAGTATTTTTGCCTGGCAATTTTTATCTTTTCGATTGTTTGAATAGGTCATTCCATTCTCTCCTAGCCTGTAGAATTTGTGCTGAGAAATCTGATAGCCTAATGGGGGTTGGGGGGGGGAGAGGTTCCCTTGTAGATTTTTTCCCCTGGCTTTATCATTGACTTTTGACAGTTTCATTACAATGTGTCTTGGAGAAAGTCTATTAAGCTTTGTATTCTTGTATATCCAGTTCCTTCCCCCGGTTTAGGAAGTTTTCAACCGTTATTTCTATAAACTCTCTGCCTCCTCTTCTCTTTCTGGTATAACCATTAATCTTATGTTAGCTTTTCTAATGGAGTCTGGTAATTGTTATAGGTTGTGTCCACCTTTTAAATATCTTAGTTCTCTCGCCTCTTCCTCCTGAATCATTTCTAAACCCTTATCTTCCAGCTTGCTTATTCTCTCTTCCATCTGATCTCCATTTCCAGTGCTCTCTAATACATTCTTCATTTCAATGAGTTTGTCAGCTTCAGATTTTCATTTTGGTTCTTTTTTAGAATTTCAATCTCTTTGGGAAAGTACTTCTTAATGTTCATTAATTTTATTCCTAAGTTCATTGAATTGCCTTTCTGGATTTCCTTGTAGCTTGTTAATTTTGTCCTGTTTTGAATTCTTTATCAGTTAAATTGTAGTATTCCATGTCTTTGGGTACCATTGCTGGAGAATTGTCATTGCCTTTTTGTGATCCTGTGTTACCATGATTTTTCATAGTGTTCAATGAAATGCGCCTGTGCTGCCACATTTAAAGGAGCAACACCTTTCTTATTTACCGAAGGCTTTGATTTTAATAATTCATCAGGTTGGCAGTTAGAAGCCTTTCTTTTGTTTTCCAGAAGGTGGTGCTATAGCACTAGCTTTTGGGTCTTCTTACTGGAAGTGACTCCCTGCTAAAGTTTGACGTGTGCTTAATGAAGATGGCATTAAAAAAACACACGGGGGAGGGGGGGCGCCTATGTGGCTCAGTGGGTTGGGCGTCTCCTGGTCTCAGCTCAGGTGATGATCTCAGGGTCTTGAGATCCAGCCCCACCTCTGCTCCATGGTGGGTGCACAGTGCAGTCAGCCTGAGACTCCCTCTCCCTCTGCCCCTCACCCCATGCATGCATGCCCATCTCCTCTCTCAAATAAAATCTTTGGTTTGGTTTTGTTTTTTAAAGACTAGAAGCAGGGTGGGGGGAGGATGTGTGCTTGGCACTTGGGGCTTTAGGTGTGCCCAGGGTCTGGTAGGGCAGTTCCAGACTGGGGGATTCCCAAAGGCCCGTGGATGGACCTCTTGCTGGAATCCCAGGGCATATGGCAGGAAACATGTCCCTTCAGCTCTCTTTGGCGGTTTTTTTCTTCCCCTCTACCCAGTCATGGAGGTCTCTCCTCAGAAATCTAGGTGTTCCTGAAAGGCAACAGAACCCTCTAGCTGCAGCCAATGCAGCTGAGCACTTTCAGTTACCCCCTTCTCTCTCTACCACCTCCGCTAGAGAGGTCACCGCCACATAACTCCCTTGGCTCCATAGCTTCCTTTGACTTCAAGTGCACAGATGGATGTCGCCATGTGATGTGCAGAGGCGCTTATATTCAGTTATGGATGTCCAATGGGTTGTTAAATCGAAGGGGAGGAAAGAGGAATGTCTCATGCCATCATGATCCTGACTTTACCACCAGGGGATTATCTTAAATGCACTCACTCCACTTTGGAGACTCCTGTGGAAGGTGAAAAGGAAACCCGTGGAAAGTCTTAAAATGGTTAAGTGATAGATTTGCATTTAGATTGCTCTGGCCTTTGAATGGAATTTAAAGCGGATGTGAGGGTATTGAGGCTGGAAGTTTGAAATTCTGGATCTCTTCAGTTATCCATATTCTTTTATGTGATATCAGACCAAGGTGATCAAGGCTTAAATAAGGAAAATGGTAGAATGGACAGAAAAGAATGGACATGTAAAATATGTGGAATAGAAAACTTAGCTTCAGTTGATAGGCTGGCCACTTAAATACCGTTACTACTTTACTTAAAATGAGTATCATACAAAGACCAAATCATCTTGGTACTAATTTTGCTAATACTGGAGGTACTAAGAGAAATTACAGTTCCTCACCACGAGACCCAAGACCAGGGCTGAGGTCCAGACTATGGTGAATTAACAAGTGAAAGAATACTGCATTTTTGAGTACTGTTTGATTTGAGTATTAGAAGCAAAACGGGTTGAAATTGAACATTTCAATTTGGAGCAGGTGCTAAGCCACCCCTTTCTTCAAAAACTTTCCAAATAACATTTTTGCAAAAGACATTTCAGGCAAACAACTTAGGATAAGGACAACGTTTTAAAAGTCAGTTGAAATTTCCTTTTAATTAAAGACCCAAGGGACAAGAAGCTCCTTTGTTACAGTACATAACATATGGCTCTTAAGATATCAGGGAGTCAAATGTTTCTACCAGGGCTGAACTGTTACCGGCAGGTGAACACTGAAGCAGTATTTCCTTTACTGGCATTGAGACTAATACATTTGTACGTGCAGTAAGTTCTTTGGTAGACTTAATCTTTCACTGGAATTACACAATTTGCCAAGTAGTAAAATATTTTATGTAAAATTTGAGCATCGTATTTCTCACCCATAAGCTATTTGTTTCCTTCAGGAAACAAGTCAATCCTAGTGAACTTTTAAAATATTGCCTCAAAACTTAACCAGTTAACTTCTGTGTTCAGACACACACACAAAACATTATTGCATAAATGCAATAAAGTAAGGTAATAATGAATTTGTAAAATACGTTTCATTATGTTTCTGGTAACTGGGCAAACGGAAACTAATCTGAAGGGTGTAGAATTCTTCGAAACCCTGGACGGCTACCACTTCTTCCTCCTCAGTCCCGCCCCCACCCCCAAGCCCATCTCTAAGGCGTCTGTCTGGAACAGCTAGCTACTACATCTTCAATACATACGCCAGTAACGACAGCAGAAATTTCCAACTACTACTACGCCATAATAGCCTCAAGACTTTGCCATATCAGATATGAAGAGAGTGGGTGCAGAAGGGTGATCAAAGTAAATTACTACAGAAAAGAAAAACCCACGACGGGGGAAGGGAGTGTCTACGGATTTCTGAGCTTTCGGGCCATCGAGGCTCAGTATCTGTATAATGCCACGGAATTGCAGGGTCGGTGTGCTGAGATAAATGGGATGCTCCTTCCCTTTGTGCCACGAGTTCTCTTCCAGCAAGAGGTATGTTTCTGAAGTGGTCTGTATTTTGATTTTAAAATCAGAAACTTGTTCCCACTGTGGATCTGGTATTGAAGCATCTTAATATTCTTTGGGTGACTTAGAAGATTAGTGGCATAATCGTGTAATTACATACAGGGTTATTTCACACACGCCACCTGCACTGCCACAGTTCTAAACCCATCCTGGAGGGATTTAAAATAAATACAGCAACTGCACTTCTCCCGGGGGTACGTTCTAACTTCAGAAGACTGAAGTTAGACTCCTAAAGCTGCCACTGTAATCCAGAGTTCATGGCAATGCCGGTCCCCCTTGAACAGTCCCTTCATACAACAGTTTGGACAGGAGTGACACACTGTGCAGGAGAACTGGCTCTCTCGGAGGATGAGGTTGATCGGTTGGAAATCTCTCTCTGGAGTTCCTCTACTTTTTTCTGAAGCTCTGCTCGTTTAGCAAGAAGTTCTTTATATCTGTTGTGAATGGGCTCCTACAAGAGCAAAACACCATAATGTCATTCAACGAGGCAATCCTAAACAAACCCATAGTCAAATTGTTCTGGTACGTGGTCCTTTCCCTAAGTGCTGCAACGTGCATTTTCTCTGCTCTGGGGACCAGGCCGACCTTTCCAGCGCATCGGTGAGAATTAACTGGACTCTCTTGACAACACTGCTCTTTGAGTGGCTTTCCCAGTGCCCCCAAGTATTTTCTGCGGCTGGTACTTAAATACAACAAACAACTAAGTAACAAGACAATCTAAAAGCCAAAACTCAAAAGATTTCCTATCACTTGGTTGCAGATTTTTAGTCTTTTAAGCAGTTCTAAGTAGTATATATTCCATAACATGTTTCAAAATGGACCAGAATCTGTCAGGCTTTTAATTTTCTTAAAGCTATTTCTTCAAACCTATTAAAATGACCTGCAGAAGTCATCCAGTCCACCACACTCATTTTCCTGAGGAGGGACAAAAAGACAGTGATTCATCCAAGACCATACAAGCAAAAGCAGGGCAAGAATCAAGTATATTGCTGACCCCCATGTAGTGCTTTTTCTACTATACAATTATAACTATTAAGAGGAAAAAAAGAAAGTTTTAAATATATCTAATTTTACTAGTTGCTTTAAAGGTGACGAACCTAACCGATGAAAACTCCCACTGTCTACTGGAGAGCATGCGTACCTGTGGTTTCATCCGGGGATTCCACCTGACGTAATATCCCACCCAGAGCTCTAGGTGGCGCATGCTGGCTACTGGATAAAGGACGTGATTGGAGTAGCTCCCATAGAGAGGATTAGTGAAGTCTTCCAGCTGGCTATTTATGTAAGACCACAGTGACACAGTCCTTTTAGGAAGATTCTGTAAAGAAAGTAACATAGGTATTTTTGATTATTAAAATCTCTTTAGAGGGAGAGGACATGGACACTTCAGTAACAGCCCCACTTTCATTCAAACCAGAGAATACTAGAAAACACTGCAGTTCATTCAAAAGTTAAACAAGTTCCCACACCAACAATTCCACTCAGGTCTATATACCAAGAGAATAGAAACACAAGCACACAAAAACCTGTACACAGACGTTCAAATCAGCATCCTCATAAGAGCAAAAGGAAGAAACAACCCAAAAGTCCATCAACTGAATGGATAAAATTGGTGTATTTATATAACGGAATAATACTTCACCATGAAAAGGAATAAAGTACTGATGCATACTACAGATTGAACCTTGGAAACATGCTAAGTGAAAGAAGCCAGACACAAAGGCCTCATCTTGAATGATTCCATTTATAGGATGTATCCAGAAGGGGCAAATCCAGAGAGTAGTGATGGCCAAGGGACCAGGAGAGGAGACTAGGGAGAAACTGCACAAACAGGGACACGGTTACCTCTCAATGTTCCGAAGCTAATAGTGGCAATAGTTGTACGACTCTATATAAACTGAAAACTACTAAACTATACACTTTTAATTTTATGGACTGCAAATTACAGCTCAGCAAAAAAGATTCTTTTCTTAAAATCAAGATATAGTTAAATCCTATTCAAGCCTCTCAGAAGATGAGAAAAAAGTATCTTTGGAACTTAGGTATTTTTACTTATCTAACATTCGGTAAGTTTTTTTTGTGTTTTTTTTTTAAAGATTTTATTTATTTATTTGAGAGTGAGAGAGAGCATGAGCAGGGTGAAGGGCAGAGGGAGAAGCAGGCTTCCCACTGAGTGGGGAGCCCAATGCAGGGCTCAATCCCAGGACTCCAGGATCATGACCCGAGCCGAAGACAGACACTTTAATCAACTGAGCCACCCAGGCGCCCCAACATTCGGTAAGTTCTTAAGCGCCTCCTCTGCATGGGAATACTGACTGCAGGCTGGCCACTGAAGATACGGTGTATTCAAAATTTCCTGGGGTGCCTGGGTGGCTCAGTTGGTTAAGCGTCTGCCTTCGGCTCAGGTCATGATCTCGGGATCCTGGGATCAAGTCCCATGTGGTCGGGCTCCCTGCTTGGCGGGGAGCCTGCTTCACCCTCTTCCTCTGCTGCTCCCCACCTCTCCTGTGCTCGCTCTCTCAAATAAATAAATAAAATCTTAAAAATAAAATTTTAATACCTGCCTTCAAGGAACTTACAGTCTGCTACATGGTAATTACTGTAGTGTTTTGTAGTTTGTTTTATTTAGCCACACAATAGTAAGTACTATTTTTCCCAATTTACCAAAGCAGAAACGAACTTGCCCAAGGTTATACCAGAAGGGACAGATCTAAGATTTCAACCCAGGCAGCCTGGCTCCAGAGCAAGCACTCCCAGCATGAATAAAACTAGTCTGTAACCATATTTTTAGAATGAAAATTGATGCAGAGGGAGACACCAAATCAAGAGGATTTGGAATTTCATACATAGGATAGATAATGTATTTTGAGGTCAGAAGTAAAACTTGAAACGTCATCCTTACAGGGTTTCTTCTAAGTAATACCAACCACTTACCAGTGATGTCTCTGGTGAAGCAGGGAAATGGTAACTTTCTACATAGTATCTCTTCAGTGTTTGGATGTTTTACAGTATTATTTTATAATTTAAAAAAATTAAAATGGCTCATATGTATGCACAATGTATTTGGGGATCTCTTCATTCGTATGTATATTTTTTGCTAATGAGATTTTTCTGCACCTGCTTTGAAGGATTTCCATCCTGCAAGGACTGGAGCTCCTAAGATTACACAGACTTCAGTTCTCTTTAGCAGACACTACTATTCACCTGTAAACGCACCTGGTACCTTCAGCCTCGCACCAGAGGTACTTAAAAACAAATCAGGCTCAGATATATGGAGAGAAGTCATCATATTACAGTATGTGAGAATAAAACATGACCAAAGAAATCATCCAAGAGGACTATTAAGTTGAAATCTATCAGAGAATGCACCCTCCTAGGGAACATCACACATATTGGGAGTAGAGCAGGGAGGGTCATGGCTCATATTTTACCTCTTTTCCTCTCTGATGTTCACTGTTACAGAGGAATGTTCCAAATAAACAGCTATATAGATGGTCCAAAATGGTAATGAGAAAATATTCATTGAATTCAAAAGCTGTAGGAAACTGCAAATTGAATACCACAAACATAAAATTATTAGGACATTTTTTCAAGCATATTCATCCCCATATATGGGCAGATTCTTTGTAATACTTCTTAAAATTAGGTTAAACAATATTCAAAAACTATGTATTTCTAAGCCATTTATGGCCTTATCTGTTTTGTTTTCTGTTCAAAAATCACTCTACCACTTTTCTGAGATTTCTCCCCAAGAGAAATCCTTTTCTCGTGCAGCAAGAGTTTGAATGGTGTGATCCTGGTGTGTTCCTGTATCTCCTGTATCTGTTAATCCTAAACGTGGAGAGGGACGAATTTTGACTTTGGCAAATCTGGCAACCCTTAGCCTTTCTTTGCCAAAAATGACCATAAACAACGTAATAAGATTTTCTTTAAATTTTCAGCAACATAGTTTTGGTTTTAGGAATTACACAAAAAATATCACTGTCTCCAGAAAATGTCAGCAATGCACAAAAATAAAGATCCAAGGCAGACGTGCAGATCACTTAAAAGCCAGCCTAGTCAAACCTGAGTATCCTGTAATCCGGTACTTTGGCAGCCTCTTTCTAACAAAAAGAAAATGCACTTTCTCTTTAACCTAGGACAAGAGCTTGACTAGATATCTTAATATTACATAAACAACCAACTTGGGGGGGGGAGGGGAGGGGACTTATCAAGGATGGATGACAGACGCCAGGAGGGAAAGAGTTCGTATAATCCATCCTTATCCATCTAATACTTCAAAATTTTCAAGTAGTCTCCTTGAAACTTGTACCAATTCTAGGACTGTGAAAAAGAAATTCTGTGAATATTTGGACTGCAGATTTGGGGACTAAACATTGGTTCCAAGTTTTTCATAGAATGACCCCTACCTAGTAGTGCAAGAAAACAGCCTGAAGCGCATGCACAAGGGATAGGGATGAAACCACCTTTGCCTCGACATTTCCTAAATTTAGAAGCAGGGTAATACGGCAAATTTCTCGAACAATGAAGGCTAACTAGCCTGCCTTGAATGATAATTTCTGTGGCTGCAAAGCTGAACCAGGTGACCGGAGCACATACCAACAAAAAGCCAATTACCTGTAAGAAACTTGGTCAAATCCCATTCATTCATTACAGAATAAATCCCATCCCCTGTATTGTTAGACACCCTGAACAGCCTTATTAGCCAACTGTGAATGCGCCGACATAGAAAAACAGCCATCCAAAGGAGCTAAGCCTGTCATCAGTTTCTCATCTTTTTGGACAAAGCACATATGTGCTCAGTCATGAGAAGACGAGAGCTGCAACAGCGGCAGGTCCCCACCACATAATGGGGGTAGCAGAGCGGAACCGCTGGGAGCACAGGAGGAGTATCTCCTCCTCCTAACGGGTTTACAATCTGAAGGGCCCTTCTCCAGCTGCTTCCTGACCCAGGAGTGAGGGGCTGTGGCCGAGGGTGCGGGGACAGGTAGAATCTGGCTAATCACCACATAACTGGTGTCATTTTGACAAATGTGCTTACTTAAATCTCTGCACCAAAGTTCAATTATTTGTAAAACTGGTGATTGCCAATAAGCATGTCTACCATGTTCTATGTTCCAGAATATCATACAGAAAAACAGAACTAGATATCTAAAATAAAGACTCATCACTGTATGATGTATTTTCAGTTCTATCAGAGAAACGTAAGAGTAAACTGATTTTCTATGCAGTAACTTAAGCTCAAAATTCAAGTGAAGCTGCTTTTAGATCTGTAGCATGCGATAAGTGAACACAATTACCGAGGAAGATACTTAGAGTGTACTCTTCTATGCAAACAATTGGCAAATGTGATTTTATTACTAACAAACCAGAACTAATATATTCACACATGTCGCCCCTTCAAGGTAATCGCCCTGGGGAAGCAGTACACCCAGCTATCAATGGTGCCATGGTTTCAAACAGCTTTTAGAGCCTTTTTAGAGGGCATATTTCCTTTTTGCCAAGAGTCAAATGTTATTTTAAAATCAAATATGGTAATGATCAATAGTGGGCCTTCTTGTTTTTGGTCAAACACCCAAAAAAGGATTGGCAAGGATCTGTAGAGCTGCTATACTAACTCAAGAGCAATCCCAAAGGAAAAATTCAAACCTAGTCCAAGAAGTAGTAAACACCATTAACTATGCGGTTAGTATCTCCCCTCCTCCCAACACACCAAGGGCCTTTTATACAACAGAACTGGAACTGTCATACACATTTGCAGTATATACATTAAAATACCAGCCTCATCATACCATAGTCGTATCTACTACAACACTTCATTTAACCCAGCAGCTTTCAAAATGACCCACCCAAACTGATACATGCTTCCAGGGGAGATGCTTAAAAAAGTAAAAGTCATTGGTGTATTTCCCCTGAAGATCACCATTCGTTTTCTTTTAATGAAATAACAGGATTTTATTGAAGCTAAAGTATAATCCTCAAGCAAAGCAGAGCCAGCAACCGCCCTATTTTATATTCATGTGGCAGGCTCACGAGAAACAAACCAGACTCCCAGTTGTCTGGGGTCTAATAAACCCTTGGCTAAATAATTAGCTGACATAGCAGTGAGCTGTAGCCAAGGTCTGAGATGATTTCTCTTGAGTTAAATATTTTTAAGACACCAACGCTTTGCCTCACTAGTGAAGTGATCCCATAATAAACCAGGTGTTTTTCAATCTCCTCTGATATCTTTCCAAAAGACAAAATCCATTACCATTAATATTTCAAATCAGTTTGCTAGAAAGTTAATAGAAGGTCTAAAAAACAATCTCTCCATACCTAAGAACAAAAAGAACTGAATCTATTACATACCTACCTACCCATAATTCCCACATAAACATATTTTTCCATTAAAATTACTTAAAATAGGATTTTATTTTGCTTGAGTGACCTAGCCTATTTCTTCATTTCTTTACCTCTACCTTTCTTAGCAATGTATAGATGAGCTTCCGGGTAAATATATTGCGATTATTTAACTACTTGTCCAAAACGAAGGAGGAAACCTCTTGGGTTATTATTAATGCTACTGGTTGAAATTTGAAGTGTTTAATACGATCTCCAAATAATATCCTTTAACTTAGTTCATAATGTAACAACAAGTAATAGTTCTATTACCGAGAAATCTTCCAAGAATTTCCATTTTACATGAAACGCAGGATAGTTAATCACTGACCAAACCTCCCAATTCTGGATGGCTTAAAAGAAAGATGCAAGAATGACTATCCCAGAGAAGTTACCTGTCTTGTCATTTGCCAGACACAGTCAATAAACTGAAGAAAAACAGGCGATCTGTCTGCATCTGCGTGGTTCTTATCTCCATGGCCAAGTCTCTGAAGCAGAAAGAGTCAAATATGAGTTTTGTGGAATTTTTTTTTTCATGGAAATAACTTTATTTTCCAATAAAAGTAGTATCTTATAATATTTTTTAAAGTTCAAAAGTCTTTTTAAGAGAGCACAGCAAGGGGGAGCCTGGGTGGCTCAGTCACTTAAGGGTCTGCCTTCGGCTCAGGTCATGATCCCAGGGTCCTGGAATCGAGTCCCACATTGGGCTCCCTGCTCTCTGGGGGGCCTGCTTCTCCCTCTGCCCCTCTCTCTCACCGGCTTGTCCTCTCTCTCAAAAATAAATAAAATCTTAAAAAAATAAATTTAAAAAAGTAAAAGCACAGCAAGGAAAACAGAAATCACTCACAGTCTTACCAAGCAAAAGTCTCTATTACCATTTTGATGTACAAACTGCCAGATTTTTTTCTGACACGAGATGCTTGTAATAGGAAATCACAACTTTGTTTATTAAGTGGAACCCAGATCTTAAAAGGTTAATAATGGAAGACAGGAGCAGTCAGACCCCAGAACCCAGATATCTTTGTCCCAGAGATTTAATATTCCCTAAATATTGACAGTTACTTGGGGACCTGGGTGGCTCAGTTGGCTGAGCATCTGCCTTCAGCTCAGGTCATGATCCCGGGATCCCGGGATCGAGTCCCGCATCGGGCTCCCTGCTCGGCAGGGTGTCTGCTTCTCTCTCTGCCTCTCCCCCTGCTCATGCTCGCTCTCTCTCTCTCAAATAAATAAAATCTTTAAAAATAAATAATTAATTAATTAAAAATATATATATTAACAGTTACTTATCCAACAGCCTCAGGAAGCACCCATCTCCTTTAACAACCTGGCCAGTGAGTGCAGGAGACCTGTTGTTATCTTAGCTCAGCTGCCTTTATCAAGAAGAATCACATCAGCACAAACTCCTGAAAACCTTTAAGGAATGCTTGACATCTGCCTTCCAAGCATGGATTCACCTACTTTCTCAGTTTTTTCTCTTCTAAGGACCTTTGCCCCAGATGACTGAAACAGACCCTCCACACTCCAACAAAACAGTGATTCTAAGAGTCTGGTTCATAAATTTCCAGGGTCGGGGCGGGGGGGTCTGTGACATCAAAACCATTTTCAGAATACTACTAAGACATTATTTGCCTTTTTCAATGCACTGACATTTACACTGATGGTGCGAAAGTGATGAAGGAGAAAACTCTGGGTTCCTTAGGAGAAACCAAGCAAGGCACTGGAATCAAGCTGGTCGAGTCGTGTCATATCCTGCCTTGCCACACACTTGCAGTTAAATGAAGGGGGGGGGGAGCCAGTTTCTTTGATGAAGCAGTAAATATTAATCCTGTTAAGTCTCTCCCCTTAAGGACAGCCTGTGTAACAAAATGGGAAATACACATAATATTCTTCTGCTGCAAATGTAAGTTGATGGTACAAAACACCACCTTTTCATGGAACATCATTTTGACTTGAAAGAACAACTGACATATGAACTATGGTTATTAAGACTTGAAAGTCCTGAAGACCTTTTTTTTTTAATGTACAAAGTGAATGTGTCATCTCAAGGAACACTATGATAAAATTCAAGCTTTGAGTGCACATTAGATCTTTGGAAAACTACCTGCCACTATAAGCTTGATAATAGACTTTTCTGATAAAATCATTGGTGATACTCACAAATGAGGTATTATGATAGTATATAAGGAAATGCATTAACATTGGAAGAGCTGTATAAGTCAGTAAGGCAGTATTTTCCAAAATAACCAATCCCTGATGTTACAGAATCATGCATGGGTACAAGTTCTATTCAAAGCGCAAGACAGACCAATGGAATTTAATGGAACAAACAACGAAAAACTCATTGATCTAGTTTTGGATTCCACATTACAAGTAACCTCGAAGAAATTAGCATTTGTTAAATTTTGGCACAGTATGAAGACTATCCACAACTCCCTGAAAAAGCTTTTAAGACACTCTGATTTTCAACCTGCATATCTGTGTGTGGTCAGATTTTCCTCATTTACTTTAAGCAACAGCACACATTGCAATAAACTGAATGTGGAAGTAGTTGTGAAATTCGGCTGTCTTCTAATAAACCAGACATGAAAGGAATTTGCAAAAAATGTAAAACAATGCCACTCTTCACATTAAATTTCTGTTGTTGTTGTTTTGGAAAATACAGTTAGTTTTCTTTAAAATTTTATTTAGGTTAATATATAGTAGTACTATGTCCTGAATGTTTGTGTCCCCCGCCTCCCCCAAAAAAAATTCATGTTGAAATCCTAATGCCAGATGTAATGGCAGGAGTCATCGTCTGGGAGCTGCTAGTCATGAGGGCAGAAGCCCAATAAAGGGGTTAGTGTTATCAAAAGACCCCACGGAGCTCTCTCCTTCTCATCACCATGTAAGGACACAGAGAGGTTGAAAATCTACAAACCACAATCTAGGGTCTTCCACGGAACCTGACCATGCTGACACCGTGACC